GAAAAGAAAAGAGGCGCGGCGTGGTGGCTCACGCCTGGGTAATCCTAGCATCTGGACGAGCCGCAGCAGGACGGATTGCTCGGAGTCAAGGAGTTCGAAACCAGCCCTGAGCAGAGAGCGAAGACCCCCGTCGTCTAACCAGGTAATAGAAAAAATAATTGGCCCAACTAAGTAATAGAGAAAAAATTAGCCAGGCCATGTGGCGCATGCGCTCGTTTAGTCCCAGGCGTACTCGGTGAGGCTGAGGGTCAGCAGGATTTGCTTGAGCCCAGGAGTTGAGGTTGCGTGGAGCCAGGCTGACGCGACAGCAGGCTCACTCTAGGCCTGGGAAGCGAGCGAGGGCAGAGAGCTCGTGGTCTCAGAAAAAAAAAAAAGAAAGCAAGCAAGCGAGCAAGAAGAGAAGGAAGGGAAGAAGAATTAAGAGAGTATGAGAATCAAAGTGAATTGGTGATCTTTTCAAGTGACGTACCAAGTTAACCAGGAACGAATGAGATAGAGAGAGTATGGATGTATGGTGGAAGCTATGTTCGAAGGATCTCAAAATGAAGCCACCAGAGTTAGCAATATTCGAGTAGTTGTGAGAGTTCAGAATGTCAGGGTGAGAGATAAAAGCACATTTTTAATATCGTCAGCACTGAAAAACGTTGCCCTGTGGAAATAGTGCAGGAATTTAGCAATAAGGATCCAAAGAGAAGTCAAGTGAAAATGTAAATTGTGAGATTCTAATCTCAGAGCGCAGTATATGAGAGGACATCGTATCTAAGCCACTATTGCTTGTTACCCTGCCGAACGAGATCCCAGGGGCTAAGGTGCCATAGGCCTCAGAGCTGGTAGGTTAATGGATAGCCGAGCGCGTTTGACGTCAGATCTGTAAGGAGGTTGACCCCCTCTCATCCTCCAGATCCCAGCTGAAATGCCCCTGAGACCTCCACTGCCATCTAATCTAAAATTGTTCTCCCTCTTTTTTTTTTGCTTTCAGTTTTTAGTAGAGATGGGGTCTCGCTATGTTGCCCAGGTTGGTCTTGAACTCCTGGCCTCAAGTGATCCTCCCACCTCAGCCTCCCAAAGTGCTGGGATAACAGGCGTGAGCTACTGCACCCAGCCAGTTCTCCCTCTTGCTCTCTATTCCCGTTTTCTTTCTTCATAACATACCAGAAGTTGTAGCCGCTTCATTCACTGGGTGGTACTTGATCCCGTGTTCATTTACCAGGCCTCCCAACCAGACTAGAAACTATAAAGGTGAAGGTCCTGTCTATTGTGTCGCCAGCTCTTCCTCCTGCTCCAGAAATGCAGGAGATGCTCAACAGATGCCTATTTTACCTGAATTGGTTGTAATCAGCACCAGGAAAACATGAATTAGCTGACCACATCGGAGACCAAGAGGGCCGCAGTTGCAGCCTAACCCTGCCATTGGCCTTCTGTGTGTGTTTTTAAGCAAGAAGCTCCTCGTCTCCCAACCATGGTTTCCTCCTGTGCAAAATAAAGGTTCAGGCTGATTACTTGCTCTCTAAATTTCCTGCATTCCAATTCCCAGTCCCTGAATTAAAGTAATTCACAACAATGTGTGAAAGGCAGTGGATAGCTTATTACCATTCCCAGAGGGGGTTGCATTTTAAAAAGATTATGTTCCACATTAATCTCTACTTTTTGGCTATCTGCAGCAGGATAAGTGAAAACAGTGGAACTGACTGGAGAGAGATAATGGGATGGGGAAGGGCAATTGAACCTGAGCTGCTTCTGCCCATGTGAGTCAGCTGTGCTAATAGTTCCTGCTTTTCTCAGCTTCTTCCTCTCTCCTCATTTCAACTGAGACTTCAAAAGCATCTAGATTTTTTTGTTGTTGTTTTTACCATTTCCTGCCCCTTCTTCCCTCCCCAACTGCTACAGTAAGAATGTCTGTGGGGTTTTTGTGGCAGCCAACTTTAGAGAGTGTTAGATTGGGCTTTCCAAAGGGAGTGGTCCTAGTGATTTCAGGTTTCTCTTTCTATTTTCTGTTTCCAAGTGAGGGGGCTCTATCTGGGGACCAGGCACTGTGGTTTTGCATGTGGGGAAGTAACTGTCTCCCTGCCCTCTACTTATCCATTTTGTTATCTTTCTGGAACTCAAAGTGTCCAACTAGGAAAATTAGTGTCTGGGCAGGGACAAAGGTTGGCTCAGAAGAACAAACAAAGAGAGGAAGCACTCAGTATTAATAACAACATCCGCAAATAGTAGAATTTGCCCTGGGTTTCCAGAAGGGCTGTGTGTCACCTTTTTCTTTAGTTGTTTTGATCTAGTTGTTATAAAATCTATAACAGTGGGGGTTCCCCTTTCCAGCCCAGCCCTTCACCCTCACACACACAAACAACACACACACCCCTCCATCTCTAATCTGAATTGTCCAGAACTCGAGCCAGGGGCTGGGTAGTCTGCCCAACTGATCCTCGATGACAGTGAGGGTACATTTTGTCTCTTCACAGAGGCCCCACCCTTGTTTTTTCCTTTGGCTATCATGTTCCTCCCAGCAGCTGGGCCGTTGAGGTGGCCTTCTTTGATGCCCGGGTCATAACTAACCCAGGGGGGATGTTGCCATCAGGCCTGGTGGGCACCTGCTTCCACACTCGCAGGCATTGACATGAGCATTGAATGGCTTTGGCCATTGTTTCTCCGCCAGCCCTTGCTT